TGAATCCACATGCTTTAACACCTTTTGACAAAATGGATGTGGCCTCCCTGTGGCTTGGAATTGATATACACCGTCAAAAAGAGTTTTCTGAATGGTCTTTCTCTGTCACCTTTACCAAATTTTTATCCTGTGTTGTAGAAATGTACAGTTTAATGTTGCGTTTCAAATAATTTTTGCCTGAAAATGTTTGTAATGGAATCAGGGTGTCCCCTGAATACTCCTAACAGTTGGAGATGTCTCTTTGTTTTGAACAGCAGAATCCCAATAGACCTGTGACAGCAGTGGAATTACACTCTTGACCTTGTTCACTAAAGTGTTGCTTTCTCTGTATGATTAAATGAGAGTAACCAACAAGAGCTTCCTCTAAAATGTATGAGTTTCCTCTATTTGTTTCTCATAAGACACATAGAAAGGATGCTGTGCAATTTTCAGCTGATTGTGTTTTACACAAAAGAAAAAATAAACAAACCCAAAGCCCTGCTTGATTCAATGAGAGGTGGTAGTTGCTAGCCATATTAAAATGCAAAAGTGTTGCTACATCCTGAGCATCACAGCAGCAGTACAGCACAGTGGCAGATTTTTATCCTGTTGTTGCGTCACTCTCCATGTAGTTTAAAAGTGAATGTATACTAAGGCACCAAATACAATTTCTAAGTATTAAATCTGAATATAGAAAATAACCATATACTTAATGTTCTGTGTGAATTTAGGTGATGGTTATGGACTACAGTCATGTCAATTCAAAAGATAAATACACTGTTTTTTGCAGATGCACATGCAGCTTTTTAAGCTCCTGGTGTTTATTTTCATTTGCCTGTGACTGAGCAGACATAGACAGCTGTAGGATTTGCCATGACTGCTGGTCCTGCCTTGTGCATTGAGCCACTGGCACATCTCTTGCTCTCCATTTACTTATTCACAGTACAGCTTCTCTCAGGATCAGAAGAACTCTAGAGGCCAGAAGAGATACAAAATCAGATTCTTGTTTTAGCCATTTTAGGCTACTTCAGCTGTGTTTTGGGGAGATTTTTCTCCAAAATATTCCTGTTTACTATGAATATCCCAGCTCTGGAATAATGAATGTACTTTCATTGTCGTGCTGAGCACATGAAATGCAATGGCAGGTACAATCCTGTAGTTCCTGTGGGTGGGGAGTTAGGGTTCAAAAGAGAGGAAAGGACTCAGGGAAATCTAGTTTATTTTTAGAAGAGATCAGAATAAGCGACTTACTGGCCTCCATGGCCTCAAGACTTCAGAGCAGTTTCTTACTGTATATGATGCTTGAGGAGAGGGCATCAGAGCATGGAGGGCAATGTACTGAGTAGGCTGCAGATCTGTGACTCCTGATTTCCAATCCTGCCAAAAAAAGCTTTTGTTTTTTTAATTACTATTTCATTGGTGATATAAATTAATGATTGGTATGGGTCTCAAGCAACCTTGTCATCAGAGAATATTTGGTTAGTGTTGACATACTTGTTTCTCTGCAAACACGAATCATCCATCTGCCTTTGGCAGGCTCGCCCTGTGGCTCTGCTATAATGTGTTTCACCAGTGTGGTGGAAATTAAAATGTCACTATTAAACATGGCAAAATCAGATGCTGTCTGCGCACTGCATCTATTCAAGGAGTTCTTGCTTCCTATGTAGTTATTTCTGACAGTTTAATAGGACAGCTGTATTCTAGCATAAAACAATACGTTCATATATCCTCAATACGTGGGGAGTTAAATGCTTTCAGAACACTATTTCCTTGCATACATGAGTGTTTCATGCATGGCAGAAGCAGTAATGCTCATGTAACACCATGTTGCTGCTTAGGCCATTAGGAAGTGTAAAATCAAAATTAATTGTCCTGCAGGACCGTATAGAGTGGGTCTCTAAAAGCAGTTGCTAGAGCTGTTTGCAGCTGCTTCATCAGCCAGGCTCCTTCCTCCTGAACAGTTATTGACTCTGGGCTATTGAATTCAGGGCTCTGGAGGTTGCTCAGTGGAAAAAGCCTTCAGTTGCTGCTTGGCAGCTCTGTCACTGCAAGGTCATGGAAAGGGCATGTCAGTCTCCAAACTCAATTAGGGCTTTATTCAGCACTTTTTCAATCGCAGGGGAAAATCCCACTGAGCAGGGTGGCTCCCAGGCCAGGCTTTTGCACCCAGTCTCCTCAGTGAGACAGCCAACAAATATGTTCCTTTTTGTCACTTGAGCCATCAGAAATACACTTTGCTGTCATGAAACAGCTAAGCAGTTAGTGCAGAAAGGTAAAGAGCGCAGTATGGGCTCATAAGCTCACCACAGTTGAATTTGGACCAGTGCCTTGTACGTTTATGTCTGTGTCCCTCCCTTTACTTGTATCTAGAGCTGTCTCATTCCTCAGATCAAATCACTTGACTCTTATGAACAGCTGTAACTTGCAAGTTGAATGAAGTCCAGCTGCTGAAAACATTAATGAAAAACATAAAACTCTCTTTTACTTGGTATCAACAGTATTGCTTTAATTCTTCCCCTTCTGAAGGTTTTTTTTGTGCATGTGTGTGCTAGGTTGTGCTTTTCATCCCAGGTGGCTGCCAGTTCTGGTGAAAATAAGTTGAGCTATGAAAGGTTGACCCACTCGCCTCTGAATTGCTTTTTATATGATGTGAATCCCTCAGGGCCCAATCCTACCTGTAGAAGTGAGAATGACAGCTATCAAAATATATATGAAATATGTCGATGTACACAAAGAAAAAGATGAACCCCTGACTGGTCTGAGTGGTCTTTAAAACATGGACTTCATGTGAAATGTTGATTAAAGGGGAAGCAAAGAATAATTAGAAAATTAGCCTGATGTGGTACCAGTTATATCAATGTGTGGTTTTATATTAGCTCTTTCAGACAAGCAAAAGATCAGAAAATCCTTTATGACTCACTTAAACTAGTGTGTAAATTTTGGTTTGTGTCTGATCAGCTACTTTGATCAGTCTAGTCTAGATTATTGCCAGAGTATATACTAAACCCACAGACCCCTTAAGTGGAGGCCTACTCAAGTGAATCAAATAACATATTAAAAAGTTATATAAAGTGTTCACTGTCTGAGTAAATTAATCTCAGTCAAAGCTGAAAACCTTAGGAATTGCAAAAATAAAAGCAAAAGTGTTGTTGCAGAAGAGAGGTGCTAGAGTTCTTAATTTGTACTTAAATGACTGTCTCAGAAATGCAAAAAAAAAAATTTCAGTAAACTTTTATTATTTTTAATTGGACAGGCATTCTTGTAAGTCTGTAGTCAGCTTCTCTAAAGGAGAAAAAAAATCTGTCAAAAATTATGCACAATTTTTTTTAGGAAATAGAGAGTTGCAACTACCATGTCTGTCTCAAGTACACAATATTGGTTTTAATTAAGGGCCAATGGGAACCTTCAGTATGTAGGCTGCACATTTGCCACCTCTAATTTCTATGCAGGATTATTTGCAAGGAAGTGCTGAGAAGTCCAAGAGCAGTAAGTTAAAACTGCTTTCTAAGCAAAGCAGTTTTCCCCTCATTGTCAGAGCTTCTTCACACATCTGGCGTTGTTGTCGTACTGTTCTGAACCTATCTGCTCTTTGCCACATGAATCTCAGGAATGTGAACAGTTCATTTACTCATAGATAATGCTGCTGCCTTTTGCATACTAGCAGTAGTAGATGACAATTTGGTGACAATCTTTGTCCAATGACCAATCCACAAGACTTGGAAATCTGTCCAATTTACTTTTAGAAATTCAGGTTTGTACCTGAGTTGGTTTTCTCAAGATGTCTGTGTTCTGAATTTAGAAGTTTAGGTTTTCAGTCTTTGTGTGCCTACCATATTTGTTGGTTGCATTTCAGTGCCATCAGAACACCTGGCATAGAGGCAATGACAGCAAATTGATCAAGTAAGCTAGCTCATAAATAGGACATCGGTGGGGTGAAAATATCACAGAAATGGGGCCATTTAAAACAAAGAAACTGGAATCCAAGTGGCAAATACTTTTTTAGCTACACCAAATTCTGTTTAAATTTGAGATGAGAGCTGGTACACTGCTGTTATCCAAACACTGAATTAATCTACTGATGGCTGAGAAACAGTTCCACAACATGCACTAAAGTCCTTGGGATGATACATTGTTTATCTAAAGTGCCAGGCATTGCTCTACTTACAGAGCTGCCTAAATAATGAAAAGATAAAGGAACATAGTTCTGTGAGTGAATACATGGATGCAGAATGCAGTAGAAATATTGGGTAAATTCTTCCCTCCTGTGACTTGTCTTCCAGCCAGTGGTATTACACCAAGGAAAGACTGGACCATGTGTGCAGCATATCAGATTGTTAAGAGGCAACAGGCAGGTGTTTGAGAAAATTTTCTCTCTGCAATTTGCAGAACTGAATGTGAAATCTCCTGGCTAATCTACAGCCATACCATTACCTGCGATCTTTCAGCAGGTAACTAGTTAACTTTGCATTAAATAGGATTTTCTTTGCTGTTTCCATTTAATGTTCAAGTAGAAATGTTCTGACATGACATATGACCAATTAATAATTGGAAAGTGCTTGGGTGAGTCATTTGAAGCCAGTGGTTTAGACTGTCAGCCACAACTGGTATTAAAACCTGCAAAGTGTTGTTCTACCGTCAGTGATTCTGCAGCATCTCCTCTGGATGTCTGCATTTCACTTAATAAAGATACCCTGTAGACATCAATTAAAGTAACTCTTGCCTTTGTTGCTTGGATGTTTTGTGAGCTCTAAAATGAACCCAGCTTATACAAGTATACTTTGTTACCCAGCCTCAAGGATGCAGGGCAGGAATTATCCTGTTCTGCTGACAACCTCAGTAGAAAAGAAATGGCTTTATTTGATTGTGATTCTGAAGAGAATAAGAGTGTGACTAGACCCAGTGGTTTTTTGGGGTTTTTTTCTGTTTTTTTTTTTGGTGGGTTTTTTTTGTTTGGTTTTTTTTGGTTTTTTTTTTTTTTTTTTTTTTTTTTCCTGTGCTGATGATGTTTTATTACTTTACAGAGCTATAATAATCCGAAATGGTGAAGTCATTCCAATGTCTTCAGAATTCACTCCAGAGACTGAACGCCAGCGACTTCAGTATCTGGTAAGAGACCTGAGGACCAAATCAGGTGCTGCTGATGACAAGCATTGCCCAGTAATGTCAAAGGGTCAGAGAAATGCTGCTGAGTTACTGTGGCTCAGTGAAGGATGATGTGTCCACTGAACACCAGTGACATGATCATGCATGTCTTTAGGCCATCAGCAAATGTGGAGAAAATCCTGGTGGTGCAAATCTTAATGAAAGGAGTATTACCTCTTCAGCAAAGGCCATCGATTAGTGTGGCTGTACTTATGTACATTGTTCAGCTGCAGACCCTTCAGCAGCACACTGGTGTTGGATTTTGAGAGTTCAGACACAGAGTTAATGAGCCACAGATGTATTTTAATCCATCCCAGTGCATGCTGTGTGACAGTATAAAATACCACAGACTGCTCTTTGTATGTGAGTGATATTGCAGAGTTCAATTAATTTACTCTAACAGTATGCCAGTAGTATCTCTGTCAGGATAAAGATATCCAACTCAGAGATGATCTCAGTGAACATTCGTAGCTGCAGGATAGGATGGGTGATCAAAGATTAGTTTTATTTTATGTAATAGCACCCATAAAGCTGGGACAGGGTGACTAGCTGGGGACACATGGGATGCTTTAGAGACCATGCTGTGTTGGCTGATAAGCTACCTGAGGAATAGAATGTATGTTGTTATTTTTCATACAAACCATCCTGTTACTCTTTAAGGTTTTCTCTGATCAGTTGGTTGAAGTCAATTAGTTCTTTGTGAAAATCTCATTCCTGACATGACTGAGAGATTTCCTTTGTGCTTCTTCTGTTTCTTTTAGAAATTTAAGCTTCAGCCAAGGCAGGGTCACTCTCAGCCTTGCCTGACTCAAGGTGGACAGGCCAAGGCTAGTGATGTTCCCAGGACTTAAGGTGTTTTCTATTTTCAGCCTGGACCAAGCACTGTGGTTTGAAATTAGATAAAATGCCGATGTTTGAAAGGTGGTAGTAGAAGATATTAAATAAAAAATTATGTTTCCTCAACTGTCACATTTAATTTTTTTCAGCCAGATTCAGTGGCTTGAAGCTGAAAATTTCAGAGGAAATACTGCTTTGGGACTATTCATATTCAGAGAACCAAATGGAAAAGAGGCCTAATAAATATTTACAGTTCAGTTACATTTAAAATAATTTGTTTGCCTCTAAAAGAAAAGGTATCTTTAGCATCTAGGGAGTCTGCTATTTCTGTAGGAAATATGAGATAAAACATTGCCTACAAGGGTTTTTGTTTTCTCTTTTGATGTCCTTTCTGACTTAAATTTGAAACCAGTAGCTGATGTGAAAGGCATTTCTGCTGTTTCCTGTGGAAAATTCCTTTACCTTTGTTTGTCTATTTTAATTCTGTATGTAACAAATATGCCAGGTCTATGGGTATCATGTTCAAAGAGAATACATGCAAGACAGCAAGAGCGTGAAACAAAATTACAGATAATTTCAAACACAACATTCCCTAAGTAAGATTTTTACTCTTGTGTTTAAAAAAAAAAAGAAAAAGAAAAAGATGCCTCTAGACTTCTTGCAATGTTGGCATAAGCATTACACTCCAAAGTTTGCATCTGTCTTGCTAATTAGATCCCAAATAATTCCTCTTTCTCACTTGTCTGTCCCCAGGTTCTGCTATTATTCTGTTATTCTACCATCAACATCTCTTGTCTCTTGTTCTGTCTGAAAGTTATTTACTTTGAGTCTATTTTCTTATTTGCAGTTAAAGCTGAGTTTCTTTGTTTCAAATATGTTGTGCTGCGCTTCCTGCATGATAGGAAGAAAATCCCTTAATCACTTTAGCATTAATAATTTACTTTGTAAATGCAGAGACACTGTTCTCTATGAGGAAGTTACTGTACAAATAAAGGGAGAGTATGGATTTACAGCCTTCAGGCTGTTCCCTGTGCAGCAGACACTGTTGGTGCAGTCAGCATGAAGGAGCTTCCCTCTGCCTAAATTTAGTGCCTATTGATTCCTTCAGTCACATAGGATGTTCTTTTAGGCCCTCTTTTCTGAGCCTTAATTTCTGTGTGGAAAGAACTCCATGGGATAATGAGTTGTTCAGGTCATGTGAGTATCTTATATAAAGTCCTCCAATATAGTGTTAGACAAAACTGTGTTTCAGCTAATACTGATTGAGTAACTGAGAGGGGAGGGAAGCAAATGTTTTCCCTGTCCTGGCAAGTTTATTGCCATGCATCCAAGAATGGCCTTGGCAGTAAGCCTCTAGCATGGACAGTTGAAAAGAACAAGTTGACTGTCCATTCATTCTGACTCTGAAGCAGCTCTGAGCCTGGTCATCACTCCATAGGAGGGCAGTGGTGGGGCAGCATCCAGCTGCAGACTTCAGGCTGGCTACATGGCAGAGACAGACTTCTCTGTCAGGCAGTTTGTGAGAGTATGCAGAAGGCAATCAATCAGTCAGAGAGCACTTCTTAAGATGTAAAGTGTGAAAGCTTTGCACCAGTATTCCCTTGGTCCTTCAGTTTCTGTAGAGGTTCAGTGCACCATGTTGCTTCCCTTCAACTGGTAGGCATTCAAAAGCCTCCTTTTCTTCTTAATTTGTGTCTCTTTTGTTTTTAGCACTGTAGCAGGAGAGCTCCATACATCGCTTGGGAAAAGTCCTGACTTCCTGTATCAGTGCATTTTGAAGGAAAAAGAAAATCTAGTATTTACTGGGAACTGCTCTGGTGCATTCAGCAGTTGTGCAGGCAGTGACAGCCAGAAGCAATTTTTCTTTCATCTTCTGAGGAGACTAATTTCAATAGTGATAGTCTAAATTGCAACAGTAAATAGGATAGATTTTGTTACTTTTTCCCTTGGAAAATGTGTTTAAAATGAATGGTGAATTGAGTGTACTGCAAATGGGTGTATTTCTATTAGTTACTGGGGTTACACTTTCAAGATGTCATGTGAGGTCAGTGTGGTGTTTGTAGCATATTCATGTGTGCAGCCAAGTAGCCCCTCTAAAGTTCACAAGAAATGGTGCACCACTGCTACCAGTGCCGATGTCACTGCTAGTATAGACTGGGTGGCCACCAGTGACAGTGACCATGGGTGTTCTTTGTGTTTGCCACCATTCAAGCAAAGGTTCATGAGCCCAGATAGTCATGGGCTCAAAGAGGATCTATTCTTATTTTGTTGCTCAGGTGAGGATAAAAGTAACACTAATATTCACCTGCTGAAGGATGCCTGCAGAACAGGAGCCTGAAGAGGAAATGAACCTAGATCTCCTAAATGTCCAGTCAGCACTTCAATTACAAGTCAGTCAAGATGTAATTCTCTTACAGTTTTTGTCTCCTTGTATCACCCAGCGTAGGATTACTTCACCCATCTGACACAGTGGATAATGCTGTGGTAAAAGAGATGTGTGGTTCCATGGAAGGGGTCCTGGCCTTTCACAAGATGAGAGACCAGTCAAGAGATGGATTTGGCTTCTAGTCTTCTTCCTTTTATCACCACATCCTTTAATTTTAATCTCTCTTTGGTTTAAATGTGTCCCTATCATAATGGCTGAGTCATTTGCAAAACTTCTGGGTGCGTTGGGCTGTGCATGCTGTTGTGAGCAGTAGTCCCATATAGTGGAATATTCATTTGGAGTAAAGGGAAAAATATGATAAAAGTATAAATTTGTAAGATAATAGCTGGTGTAGGGGAAAGCAGCAAATCAGAAAATAGCACAGAATGCAGTGAAACCACTAGTGCCAGTGACTTTCCAGTGCAGTGCTTACTGAAGGAGCTGGAAAGGGCAGTGGCAGGCCTTACTGAGGTACAGATGAGATACAAACAGTGTTTCCTGCCACCTAATTAACTGGCATGCTAGTGTGTAAGTCCAAGTTTATCTTGATTTCATGTGTGCTTTTCTAATCACCAGGAAACACAGCAGGAAGTAAATGCCCTTTTTAAACAGCTATGACTAATATTTCTTTGACTGAACTGCATTTTAAAATACTAATTTTGAATGCAATACATACAGCCACAAAATGCACCATAAAATGGCAGAGTATGAAAAACACACAATACAGACTATGCCAGATTTATGCCAAAAAGCTCTAACAGCTTCTGAAAGAGAAAATATGACCAATGTTCCAGTTTCATAACACAGAATAACAATGTTGTCTGAAAATACCTCATAAGTATGTAGGAAGTGTTTGATAGCCACACTATTTGTTAAATTTCAGGTTGTCTGAGTGGTGTTTCTGATGTGAGGTTCTTGCAAATTGAGACTAAAGAAATTTAAAAATGGAAAATACTTTGCATGCTCACAGGTGAAATTCTGGTAGTTAGTTCACTTACCAATTTTTTTTTTTGTTGTTTGATCACTTGAGGGGATTTCATAGTTCTGCTTGTGTATATGTTTGAAAGATCTGTAGATTTTGATTTTTAAAGTGTTGTTTTTTTGTTTATTTTCTGGTTCTGCTGCCCAGCATGGTTTTGTTGAGGTGGGGAGAAGTGTCCTGCCTTGTACATGGAGAACAGTTCTCAACAAACCCAACTGGAAGTTGCAGCTGAGTTTTGTAGTAGAACGTTCTTCTCTCTGTAGAATTACCAGTGAAGCATCAAAAATAACAGTTTAAAAATGATAAAAAATATGGAAAATTAAAAAAATAAAGCAAAGCACAACAAAAACCCCATCTCTTCACATAAGAATTCAGATCACAGACACCAGAAGCTTCCAAATTGCTCTTTTCCCTCTGTTTCACTGACTCCAAACATATTAGAATCAAGTTAAGATCCCTGGATTGTAAATCGAGCATTGAGGCTTGGCTGCGGAGGAGAAGTCTTATTTGAACAGTAGCAGTCCACTGGTAACTGTGCCAGCTTTATTAATCTTATTTCAGTTATGACCTCAGACTTTCCATCTGAGTAAATCTTTATGCATTGCAGTCTCTCCTAGTTGCTTTACCTTTTCATTACAGAAAATTCTTGTTTTTAAGTGAAAAAAACTAAAAGCCTGTAATGTTTTTCTTCTGGACCTCTTATTCAGACTAGTAATCTTACAATCTGAAGGTTAAATATCTTCATTTTGATATCAGGTATGATTGCTTTTTAAGCATGACCTTGTTTTGTAGGCAGGTGACAGTATTTAGCTGGTAGTGGTTTGTAACGTTTTCATCAAGATAGGCTGTGCATTTTTAAAAGGGAGCTGAATTTCACTTTCAGTGCAGACTGACTTCATTTTTTACAATATCATAGACCAGAAGAAATTTTAAAAATACCAAAAACAATCCAGCTCTTTGTTATCATACAAAGAACAAATACTGTTCATATTATGTGATACATCAAAGCATTAGGAATTTTCCATCTTTTTTGCATCTGGAATGAAAATAAGTAAAATAAAAAGCTTACATGTATTTTTAAAATAAAATGTTCATTTTTCATACTTCCAGAGTTCTGGAAGTATGAAAAGCCTTATGTGTACTAATACTGCTGAATCTCTTAAAAGTCACTAGTGCTTCTCAACCATTTCTGTAATGAGGAGAGGGATCCAATTAGAGGGCCCTTGACAACAATGTTTGGGTGGAGAAGGGGACTTTGGCTGACTGTAGGCTGAAGGAAAAAAAATGTAATTCCCTTAACTGTACACAGAGAGAATTTGATGTAGTTCCTGTTCCAGGAAGAGATTGTGATGTCAAGATCACTGGTGTGCTTGAAAGCCACCTCTTGAAAGCAGAATCCAATCTTGTTGGCTACACAGAGCAACCTTCCTCAGTCCTGCTCCAACCAAGCTTGAGGTATTTTCTGGAAGGATGTCTGGTGATGGGAACAGGGACAAGCTGATAGGAAGTTAGCGTGTGATGTGCTGAGCCTGATAGAGCTCCTATTAAACTGAGTGGGAGCAGGCTCAACTCTTAAATGCAGGAAATATTTTATTGTGAACTATCTGCATGACAGATGCCAGGTAGATCAATAAGGGCTTCCAGTGCTTCCTGCTGCTTACCTTTGATGAGCACTAGATTTATGACATACACGCAAACTAAAGCCCAGCTCATTTAATCTCCCTTGATGGCAGCTGCTGCTGAAGATAAGACAGACTTTATTGCCTTAACTGGCTGGATAAGGAAGAAGAGTTATCTGCAAAAAGGTTAAGAAATGCAACTTTTTTTCAGTTCCCTAGCCAATTTGACTGTGTCTTTCGCTCACAATGCGGCTTTGCAGAGGAAGAGAGAACGGCTTGTTTATTTGAGTGCTAAAGGAAAAGGAATGAGATTTATTTCAGAAAGATCACTTGACATGATAGATTAATCCTAAACATACTCTATTTCTTCTGTGTATAAATTCAATCCAAAAATTTACACAATGGACGAAGAGCCTTGCGATGCTCTCGCCTGTGGTCAGCTTTGTCAAAGCTGCAGCATGAGTCAAAGGCGCAACTCTGGCAATGAGGCTGCCAAGCATCTGCAGAGCAGTGCAACAGAAAGGACATGAGCAGCATTTGAACATTAAAACCATCAAAGGCCTTAATTGCAGTTGTGACACAAAACTGTTGCTGCTTTTCTTAAAGTCTGTTTTGGATGAAGAATTTAGTTTTTCAAAAACAAGAAAATAAATTGCTTTGTAGCTTGTGTTTATTTGCAATGTCATGTGATGGGGTGCATTTTTCTCGAGGTGATGACAATTAAAATGTGGTAGCAATGTTAGGTTTTCTGTGTTGTTGGCATTGCTAAACTGGGAGTCAAAAAGCTTGAGCTTCACTGCACAATCATCCCTTCAAGTCTCTCCTTGGCTTTGTATTTGATCATTCCTTTCTCTCTTGCTGACTTACAAAAGGGCATGTGTTCTGTTTTACAAAGCTCTGCAGACTCCTTCAGGGTCAATGGATGAAGTGTAGTTTAGAGATCACAAATCTTGAGAAGCAGGGAGAAGAAATAAAGGATTTTGGGGGCAAGAGGACTTCTAAGGCTTCATAAGGCCGCTCCTGGATATCAGGCAGGGGCAGAAATTATGTATGTGCCTTGTTTGCTGAAATGGAGCACATCATCATCCTTATTTAAAAAGAATGGTAGAGGAGGGGGTGAAATTTGTGTGGGAAGGGACCAGGAAGGGATGGTAATACTACCTCATTAAAAATAGATGATGTCTTGTTTTATGTGGTATCTGTGGTTTGATTTCTGCCCACAGGCTTACATGCAGCCTCACTTGCTGGGAAATGAATTCACACATCTAGAGTTTCCACGGAGGGTGCAGCGCAAGGAAGTTGGAAAGAGGATGCTGTACCGTGACTTCAACATGACAGGCTGGTAAGAATGTGTCCTTCTCAGCATGGGGTCAGCCTTCTCCCCCAGCCAATGCCTGCTTTGTACCTTTGATTAGTGTGAACTGCATCAGACATGGAGGTGTACCCCTGCATACTAAAAGAAAAGCCATTTCCTTCTTTCAGGTGTATCTTTCTTCTAGAAGACAATGTTTTAAATAAGTGAACCTCCCTCCAGAGAGTTCATTGTAATGTGGGAGCACTCAAAGCGGAGAAAGCATGTAAAGGCAAAGATGTGCCAGGGGATCGTTCTGAAAGAAAAACAATTTTCCTGTCTTGGACATAGTTTTTTATAAATTCTGGATCAGTGGGTCAGAAATTTGTCTTTTAAACCAAGATGTAGGGCCATCATGCCTTCACGTGCTGAGGAAAGCTTGCAGAAGGAAGGAACTGCCTCCCCTGTTCCACTGCAGCTGGTCTGTGGTTTGGATATCCCTTGAGGAATTGTTTTAGACATGGAGCTATCTGAATGCAACCAGCCTAAAATGAAAAGGCTTGAATGAACAGCATGGACTTAAAGAAGTGAAGACAGAAAGAATGACGTGGGTTTTTTTTTTGTTTCTGGCTAAATGTCTTCATTGTTTTTTGTTGAGCCTCCTTGGAGAAGCCCTAATCTTTGCTGTTGTGAGTTCTGTGCATGAACTATAAAGGCAAAAGCCCAATATATGCAAATGGTCTTCATGTCCATGACATTTGTGTTTTAGTGTCTGTAGTGTTCTTTCAGGAAGAAAAAGGACAGAGGGGTTAAAAAGAAAGCCTATTTTAGGTTTGGAAGCCTGGATGCTCACTGTAGAGTTACTGCTCTACATAAATTTTGCTTTGTTCCATTCTTTATGGGCCAACAATATAATCATGTTTTAATGGCAGAATAATGATCTAAGTTTAATATCATCTGAAGGGTTTTTGCAGAACATGTAAATCTGAGAATAACTATCATTGTCTGTCATCTTAAACAGCTGCTAGTAGAATATGCAGTTTCACCCTGAGAATGATGACTTCACATTTTAAAAAGGCTACAGGCATGAGCAAAAGAATAGGAACAGAATGAGAACATTGGATCAACTGAGGACTTAGACAGCAAAACATTTGGAAGATCATGAGACACTCTCCCAGTTTCTGCAGAAGGAGGGTTTTTTTTGTTAACCTCCCAGATGTCTCTGGAGGCACCAATAAAGAATGGTTTCATGTAGACTTCCAAAAGCTCTTTTTCAAGATGTGACATGCCAGTTGGGAGGAAAAACATGTGGGGGAGAGCTACAGAAGTATCATAGGCTAGGAACTTCCTGAGAAGAGAGCAAGAACAGATTTCTGTCATCATTGCTGGAAAGCAAAGAGAGTTTCTTCAGGTTCATGGGAGTTGTTTTGTGTTTCCCTGGTTGGTTAGTGGTCTGGAAAGGAAATGGGGTTGGAATGGTTGAAGTTGCAGCATTGGCAGGTGACATCACAGCTCTTTTCCTATTAAACAAGAATGACCATGAGGTACTGCAAAGAATTAAGTGATTCGTGCAAATGAACATCACAGTGATCAAATTTGGTATTGATAAATACAAAATAAAGCATGAAGAGGAAAAAATAACTGTTTATGCACACTAGAGGTTCCAAATTGAAAAGTCAAAAAACTCAGTGGAAGGTTTGCTTACTACAGTATTTTTTCCAGTCGAAATCACCAGCAGAATGCTGAGATTCGTACAGCAATAGACAGTTTAAAAGTTAAGTGAAGAGATAATTCTGTATATTTCTACCTCACTTGTGAATGTATGCATAGCACTTTACCTTATCCAAAATGGTTATTATATAGTTAATACTGTTTGGCATTAGAAAAAGGAACAGAAATTCTAAATGTATAATAATCAGTAAGGTAAAAGAGCTTTGGTAAGTCAAACTGGCAGATTTGATTCAATGTGTTTCTTTTTAGGACTGGTTTGTGAATCCTCTTAGCTCTAGCATATAGGAGGGAGGAGAATAAAGTTATTTTCTGGTTGATTTTTCTGAATTTCCTGAACTCTAGGACACACATTGATCCAGTTAGAGATTCTAATATGGTCAATGCAAAAACTGTCACCAGTTCAGTACAAATATGCTTAGCTGTAAGCAGTAATTCTGGAATAAATGCTTGAACTGCAACTTGAAAATTCAAGTCTGAATTCACAACAGTATTGTCCCAGAAAAAGGTGTCCTGTGCCAAGCAGAAGCATGTGGAGACTGTGGTGAGGCTACCTCTCCCTGCTGTTCCTTTTGACTTCTGGATGGAAGTGAAAAAGGGGGCCTACATTTTTGTCCTAATAAAAGAATTGGAATCTTTCAGCTGCTCCATATTGCATAACTAGTGCAACAATTACCTCTTTCTTTGGTTGCCTTGGGACAATGAAGTGATGAGGAAATTGCTCTCTTGCCATACATTTGTGTAAAACAGAGCCCTTCTAAATAATGATCCATTTCTTTTTGCAAGGTTTCACCCAAGGTGTTTGTTATCCATTGAATTGTGTGCAGTGATCACATAGGCAGAGGAGAAGCAATCCATTTCTGTTTATGTAGAAGTCTGGGTCAATTTTAATGGATGTGGACAAGACATTAGATTTCCAGTTTGGTGGGACCTCAAAGGTGACGGTTTGAGGTGGTAGAGGTTTCTTAGCGGCTGTTTTCCACTTCAATGATTTTGCTTCTGCTTTCTTCCTTTTCTTATTCCTGGATTCAACTGATGCATCAGGACACAGTGGTCGAGGACATATCTGTTTTGCATTTGTTTCTAAGGACACTATCTATCATAGAGAATAAATTAGCATATATATTCCTTTTCTAGAAAATGTCAGATGGTGCTTTGGCCAGCCAGAGCTTGATACGCTAAAATGCTGCTGAACTTTTATCACATACAATGCAGATGATCAATTGTCTAAATTGTTTTTTGGTCACTAACCTCACTGTGTGTTGACATTTGTATATACATATAGAGAGGTGCAGGTGATATTAGGAAGAAACAGCCACTCTTACACTTAATTACTTAATCCTTTAGTGAGAGAATGTAGAACAGGTTCTGCTTTGATGTTTCCTTAGGAAACTAAACTGTTTCACTTTACAATTCAGCATACTTTTTGTGTTTTCTCTTAGAAGCTGTATGACTTTTTTTCTTCATTTTTATCCTCCTCCTTTGCTCCAGAGCTTTTCAGATTCTCAACAATGGCTTGGCTTGCCCAGCTTGTTTGGATTACAAAAGATTATTGTCTTTGGGTCTGTTATAATGTATTTGGCCCTTTATTTTTTCTTTCTTTCTTTCTTTCTTTTTTTTTTTTTTCATGTGAAGTTTCCACACTGGCTTTGTCTCCACAACCCACAGTGGTAGCACAGCTGCCAAGTTTCCCCACAGCATTAGGACAACCACTGATCCAGCAATGTGTACTGCATCACTAGCCCAGGCTGCCTGTAACTACTTTGAGACCAGCCTTTTCCTTCTCACTCCAGCTTGCCTACCCTTTCTTCTTTCTTTTCAGTGGCAATTGCAATGAGAAATCATTGCTGTATTAAATATATGTAAAATAAATCCTGCACTGCTGGGAGCTGACCATGAGCTGCCCTTCCTGCACCCTTGCCCCATGTGCATTGTGCTTGAAAGATGATAGCAAAACGTGTAGTGTAGCTGGCAAGGCATCTTAAGAGCAGTGTGTCCTGCTGAACAAGCTCTTGAGCTGTCTCAAGCCGTAATTTGCTGGCAGATATCTGTGTTACTGACAGTCTTTCACAGCGGGGTCTCTGGGCTGGGGTTTTCAAGCCCATGCCTTGCAGAGGTTAGACTTGTATTGGAGAGAGGTGTCCTGGTGGCTTTGACAAGTCCTGGCAACTGAAGCATCAGGAGAGACTCAGAGGCCATGAAAGCAGAGACTGGTCAGTGCTAAAAAGTGGGGTGAGTAACCTGAAGTGGAAATATGCTGGGGAAAACAGCAGGCCTGGTGACAGCTGCTCCTTTAAAGGACTGCACAGAATTAGTATTCTTCGTCTCTGGCTTTTATTTAAAGCTAGACACAGTTGGTCAGATCTTCACATGTACATCCAGTGTGAACAATTTTGAGGTATTTTGCTTTGACTGTATCCTAGAACCTTCCAAAACTTGGATTTCTGACTGGCTGTGTCCTTCACTGTGGCTCCTTCCAGAGTTCCCCTCCCAGCCTTCTGTGGGGCTGGAGGAGCCATACAGCACTGTACTTAACCAAAGGCATCCAGAAGGCACTACCAGTTGGCATCAACTTCAGTGGTTTCAAGATTAATTTTTCCTTCTCCTTGGAACAAAAACAGTGGCTTTACTGCTGCTTGCATTGAAGTGGAATTCTTTAAAAGCTTGTATCCAGATCACAACTTTAGCTTTTCGACTTGATTTTAGCATGGCAAAAGAGACCTAAATAACAAGTACGGTTTTTGACCTATTTGTTGGTTGCTTCCTTTGCCCTCCAGGAGAGGCAGAGCTGAGCAGCAAAGCTGAGCTGCACCCCATCAGAAATTGTCTGAGGCAGTATATTGCCCACCACACACCATGGGCTGAAGCCCAAGGTGGCAGCGAGCAGGGGAATTGAGCACTGTCTCTGAGTGCGCTGTCTTTGCAGCAGCAGTGGAGCCCTTTCCAGCTCCGTGGCCGTGTGTCTGGTGAGATGGTGCTGTGCACATGGGGTCAGCACCTGAGGGTCAGCCCTTGCTGGGGAATCGCCTGCCTGCATGATTTATTCCAAAGCAGGGAGGCTGGTGCCCTGAGGCAAGCACTAAGCAAAACCCATTTTATTCTAGAGTCAATATTGTCCACTGCCTGGAAAGCTGCCAGCCTGCTCTGCGCTCGCCCTTTTCTTTCCAACAGGGAATGTCTTTCAGCCTCTAAGCATCTGATTAAAAAAGCAACTTCACTTTTAAAGCCGTTTTATTTTGTTTGGGATGGATGCCTTTCACTTTCATTGTGCAGCCCGCCTTGCCGTCTGCGGTTCAGACTCCAGCTCACAAAAGCCAGGCTCT